CAACATCCCGTGTTGGATTTCCAGCCCTAACCGGTTATTATAATATGTTTTCTTTCATTCGCACCCACATTAAATCGTCATGTCTCGCTCGCACGGTGCGTCTAAACTTGAAGGAGAATAGGCGTGGGAACTGCTACTGGAGCGTCCCAACTACTTTTTTTCTACGAAATGTAATACAAATCCTAGATTGTTATACCTCGTTAGATAGCTGATAAAACATAGATATTTTAAAACACATCTGCCGAACAATTGCCATAATATTTTTTTTAGATATCCCTTCGAGAAAAATAAACTTTCTGATATTTTTTTCAATTTCTTAACATTCACTTATCTACTACGGCCTATTCAATTAACTTATGGACTATTTTAATGATTGACGTCCTAAAGCATCTTATTACACATGTTAAAATGCAATAATAGTAATAATAACACACACAAAATAAAAATAAATACATTTAGTAGCCTAAAAATCGGCAATTTTCAATAAAAACATTAAAAGTTGAATATCTCGAAAAGGGTTAAGTTTAGGGTAGGGTGTTTCATAATGAAATAAGTCAGAAATGATGGGTACTACACGCCCTTAACGGATCTAGCACGACTTTTCCTGTAACCCTGTATATTTGCCGTTAAATACGTCTATACACTTTGTTCTGAAATGTGAGCTACACTGGTCAATAAGCTATAGCCATACGCCTCTGACTAAATCCCCCCTCGACGTACGCAAACCGCTATGGCTCAATCGACATTTATATTTTTACAATTTTTGTTTCCTTTATGGAGGTTCGGCCGTCAGCTTCGTCCGAAGCTGCTATATGTCGTCCAATCAATTTCGATGTTCGATGCATCACATACTACGTCGCTACTTATTTAGAATGGACTTCCACTGCTAAATATTCATTAGCGCTCTTTTAGTCCCTCTAGTTAGGAATTAGGTTCTTTTGAACGAGGAAATGCAGGCGGTTCGACTGCTGCAGACGAATTAACCTTCCCAGATGCAAATTGTGATCGGTTCTCGTTGGATCGTGTGTTAAGATAATTGGAAAAGGCATTTTATAAGCTGAATGCCTCTACGTATGATTCTGTATCTGTGTTCTGTTTGGGAGGAAGATCAACTAACCAAGACCACATCACTCTAACTCCAATGGGTCCTTTGTACGTCCTCCCCAGGGGTCGCTCAGGTCTTTATCGGTAGCCACCCCCCACTGTTGCAAAAGGTCACAGATGCGACCTGCGCGGAGTTTCTCTTACGTTGGACATACAAGGCGATCGTTCCCCAGAATGAGTTCTCGGATTGATATGATAGCTGGACAGTTGCAAAACAAGTGTTGAACTGTCTCATATTACTGTTCACATACTCTAGATTAGCATTTAATGGATATGTTTTCGTAGCTGATTGTGTCCAGTTGCGACGCTTAAATAGAGTTTGTTGCCAGGACATAGACAGGTAATTTTTTGCTACTTCCTCACTAGGATATCTAAGGAGTCCCTTAGCAAATGAGCAGCCCGGTGTATCGTCCAGCATGTTCTTGAATATTTTGTGGGTATGCTCTTTTACCAGATGTCATGGCTCAGATGGGTAGAATACATTATATTGTGTCAAGCTTCCGCTATGAGCAATGGATCGTTTTAATCTTGAACAAAGGTGGGACATATTGAAAAACTATTTTCATAGTGAGTGCTGTGTTGCAGACAATTGAGAAGACTATTTGGTTGGAATGAAGCTCCGTCCGCGACGAAAATTCGTGAAGAAGGTTCGTGAAACTGGCCTGCTTGTGGATAACAGAAGGTATGAGCATGTTCGACCCGTACGTACAGCCGCAAACATTGCTGCTATTGCCTAGAGTGTGAGTGAAATCGCAAGAATGTCAACCCGTCACAGAGTACAAGTGGGCCTCACTCGCACTTGTGTCCGGAGAATATTGCATAACGACCTGGGATTATTTCCTTACAAGGTGCAACTTGTGCAAGAGTTGAAACAAAATGACCATCCGCTTCGATATCGCTTCTCTGTGTGGGCTGTGAATCAATTGGAAACGGACATCAATTTTGGTCGCCAAATCATCTATTCGGACGAAGCCCATTTCTATCTGGGAGGTAACGTTAACAAGCAGAAGTGTAGTATTTGGGATTCTGTAAATCCGCATGTCGTCATAGAAAAACCAATGCGCAACATGCGACACCAGCCGTGAAATAATCGATCTTTTACACACTAAGTTCGGTCATCGCGTTATCAGCAGTTTGGGAAACGTTCATTGGCTAGCCCGCAGCTGTGATTTGATGCCCATGGATTACTTCCTATGGGATACTGTTAAGGACCGCTGTTACACTAACGATCCGCTAACAATTGATATTCTTAAGGAAAATATCCGTCGAGCTACTGATGAAATAGACTATCGAAAATGTGCTTCCAAGTTGGGTTAAGAGGATAGACTACTGCCAGGCCAGCCACGGCAGCCATTTAACTGAAATTGTTCTTCATAAATAATCGGAAAGTGTATTCTTTCTAATAAAGTATCAAGTGTTACATATTATTGAAGGATGTAGTTTTAAAACTAAAAATAGTCCTGATACGGATGCTGGCGATGTCGCTATGGCGTGTTGGTAAGGGACGGCTCTTTATAATCAACCCTTTCAATGAAGAATTTCCTTACTGATAGGGTAGCAATCGTCGAGCAACTACTGAGCTGGCTCATCTTCCCGTTCACGTCTCCATAACAGCTTGTACTTCTTGGCTTACAATATTGGGCAATGGCGGTGACAAACCTAAGATGTCCCGACGATGCCTAACGGGAAAATTGAGGAGCGACTTGAGTAGGTTGCAATATGGAAAAATATTCCGTTCTCTATAATAGGGGCCACTTGTTCGTCTCTGATATCTTACATACGTTTCTTGAAGACATAATGAGACATTGAGATCAGTTTAGGTACAAACAATCAAGCAACAGTTGTCATTAGATGAGCCTAGGAGTTGCTCCAGCGTTTGTACAATGGAGTCGGAGAAAGGGTCAAAAATGGTCAGTTGCTAGGCTTCGCTTTCTCACCCCCACCACTACTACTGTTACTTGCAAATTTGTTATCAGGGGTATGTATAGGATATGAGTATGTACAAAATTGTTTCCTAAGACACTTACCTTAAAGCGCGCCTGCATATAAGCCTCTATGTTTAGCACGATAAATATATAGTTAGATTTTGTGTGAACCCTGATATTCTGTGAACCTGCAGCCTTTTTAATAACAGTAGTGGTATTGCAAGCAGGAGAACAAAACCTGTTTCTCGCATATTTTGAGGCAGCCTCCATGTATAAATATGCTGTATACACAATCCTATAGAAAAATTTTCAATTTCTTCATTTCGAACAATACATCCATCAACTCAATTCCAGAAGTCGATTGTGCACGAAAAAATAGTCTGGCCGTACTTCCTGGTCATCGTCTGATTAATTTTCGGAAGCAATTAATTTCTGGGAATTACCCGAGCAATTCTCAATTATTGCTGCACACTTCCGATTTAGTACGTATAACTGATAGATTCTTGAAAAAAAAAAACTGTATCAATTTTTGCAATATCTATATTTCCGACAGGTTACTTTTTGCTTTTTTCATATTTAGGATAGAATATTGAATATTAATTAATTCCACACTAAATCGGCCACGAAGGCAAATCTTTAAAACTGGTATGCAGCGACAACTGTTAAATAATTCTGATGATACAAGTTGTAAAGTAACTCAATGCTTCTTCCAGAATACATTACGTAAAATGAGAAGCGGGAACTTGGCGAGTCCGTCTTTAATACAATACTACCAAGGGGAAGAGATCAGAAGAACAAATGCTGTTAAAAGATTGGTATAAAATTTCGACAACCTGCGCCAATATGAAACAGGTGTGAGACAACTTATTGTGTTAGTATGGAATTTTTTCAGACGAAACGCTTTTATCTGAAAGATGACCCTTTCCTGTCTGAAGTGTGATTTTTCAAAAAAGCGGCATTCCCATCAAAAGCCCTCAATCATTTTGCCATGCGTTCCACCACGAAAGTGCACATAATTTCTTCAAGGTGTAGCGTTGCGCATAACGTTCATTTATTCAAAGGTGCTTACCTAAGCGTCGATTGGCCTTCTTTGAATCGCATCGAATACGGGCTCTATGTTCCGTCTCACTAGCCGCTGCAGTTAACGAGACCAGCTTTTGTCAAACTAATAATTTTGCGTTCGTCCATCCGACCCATCGACTACTAAACACAGCTAGACCTTGCAACTCATTCATGAATTGCCAATAAAATGGGTGAACACATCAACTAGCTGGCGACGGGCACAGAGATGTAAGGGGATCCCAAAAATTGTTGACCAAAAAGCTGCAACATTGCTGTGATTGTTTTCACCATAGGCGTAATGCGCTATATTTATTCTTTGGAAAAGTAGTATAGCAATCAAAGCGCAAGTAAGAAATATTTACCCAGCATAAATCATTGATTTAATGATTCGTCAAGGAAAATGCGATTAAGCATAAAAAGGGAATCATTGGTTACAGAAGTTCATTAATTTATTGATAAACGCAGTCGAGGGGAAGTTCTGGGAAATGCAAATGCTTTAAAAGCCATGTACATATTGAGCCGTATTCATAAAACAAAGGATATCCTTGTACTTGCAAATTTTGAAGGAAATCCTCCAGATGGTATTTATAATAATTTGAAGTAAATGCTTTTGCTTTTTGAGTAGCAGTAACATAAGTAAAAAGATATTCATAATCTTCACCTTATACTTGGCATAGGAAGCATATCCTTTAAAAATTCTGAGTAGCAGACTCAACTTCGTAACGAAAAGTGATCAAACGATGATGGCGGAAATTGTGGATGTTAGGGATGTTAAAACGTACAAACCCCATTTACTTTCACTTGATAGAGACTTCAAAAAATTGTATCGGTTCGACGAAGCAAGCAAGCAACAGATTTTTAGTTGAGAATGAGGAAACTCGAGCAGGAGCACTTTCTTGTATTCATAAAATGAAGATATGTTTACGCTATCTCGGTGACCCTGGATATCAACAAGGTATTGGTCAGGAACTTGGTGTTAGTCAAGCAACGGTATCTCGGACTGTGGATAGAGTTGTGAACAGCATAGTTGCACAGTCGAACAAGTTTCCAACTACCAACCATGAACTGATGGAGGCCAAACGGATATGGCAAAGCATGTATAAATTTCCGACAGCAATTGGTGTAATTGATTGTACACATATAGGAATACAGAAAACAAATCGCCATGGAGATGAGTATATCAACCGAAAAGGGAAACCTACTTTAAATGTGCAAGGCACTTGTGATGCCAGAGAGATGTTCACAAGTGTTGATGTCAGTTAGCCTAGATCAGTGCATGATTCCAGACTATGGAGAAATTCACAGACTAAATCACAACTAATAAATAAAGCAAATGTTGTACTATTTGGCGATGACGGTTATGGTATTGAGCCATGGGTTATGCTCCCTTCAGAAATCCTACTTCAGGTGCAGAAATGAATTATAATAAGCTTTTAAAACAAGAAAGAGTTATAATTGCAGTATGTTTGCCGGGTAAAGTTGGAAAATGTGCTGAAAATAATTATTGCTTGTATTGTACTCCATAATGTTGGGAAGAGCTAGGGCGATCCTAACTTTGAGTTAATTGAACAAGTCCCAGATGAAGATGAAGAAAATCATGAGAATGATGAACTTCCTCTCCGCCAACTAGGTCAACAAATAAGAAGAAACTTGAGTATTATAATAAATAGTTTTACAGATTAAAGTATATTTATAAGTTATACTAAGTTTAATTTCCGTGAACATCATAAGTTACAGGTGGCTTCTGACTGTGCATCATGTCTAGTTTTGTTTTATTACTACTCTTGTTGTAAAATACTTGTTTGGTACTGCTGTAATAGCACTATACGTTGCAGTTCTTTTGTAGTCAACCCTTTTTCGTCCTCAGTTTTGTATTTCTCTGTTGCTCGGTATATAGTTCACTTCCTTCTTCTTGAACACTACCAACCTGAATGGCACCTCTAATTTTTCCAATTGTAGGATTACAGTCACCTTCCACAGCTTTCAGCAACTTTCCTTCCCAATCTAACAATTTAATTGCTTTATTACCAGTTTTTTTAGATCTGTTTTTTCTTCAATCTCGATTTCATGTTGTTAATTTTTGTTTTACTAATCTGATGGTTTATCGAATGTTGATTCGTAATTTTTCAACTTCTTCTTCAAGCCATCGTCCTTTCTCATTTTTATTTTTGGAACTTGTGACTTTTGCAAAATAATGGAAGCAATGGCAATTTCATCTGCGATGAACTGCAGGTCGTTGCCATTATTTTCTATAGTTTCCTCATCACTTGAGGATGACATGCTTATTAATTTGATAAAAAACTGTATCCCGTAAAAATACGGAACGGTCTGTGTAAGCTCTGGAGTACAACTGTGAGTGGTGCTGAGTGAACGAACTCCCACGTCAACTACAAGTCGCTCAAGATACAAATACCAGTCAACCTTTTACTTCTTCTTTGAGGATATCCATTATGAATATGAAAACAAGGATAGCTTATACTTTTACCTTTTTCTCCCAAGCAAGACCTTATATAGTACTTTTACCGATGCTTCTCTTTTATGAATACGGTTCATTGGACTGTAAACAGGATGCTGTAAAAATAGTCTGTATATTGTTGTGCAGGAAAAACAAAGATGAGGAAAATATAAAAATGTATTTGTATTGATATAGATGTCACCGGAGTATACAATTTCATACATAATTTAGTTACAAAATATGTTAGATAGATAGATGTAAGGCAAATAAATAATAAATACACGTGAACATGAACATACAAAAGCGGTCGAATAATTTGGTTGAGTACATACTATGAATAAATATTAAGGGGGAAAAATAAATCTAATCAATACAAATTGAAATCATATTGAATATTTGTGAATACTTCTTTGGGTATGTACAAAAGCTATATTCTTGAATCAATTAAACCACATACACACAGAACTAAATGTAATGTTGTTTCATCGCAGATATTTTTTTCAGCATGTTCTACAAGCTTTAAAACTACAGAATAAGAATTTTTGTCTTGATTAAGTTTTTGTATGAGCATCAAATGTTTCTAAAAACTAAACTTTTTCTGGCATAGTTCGGCTACAACTGACCTCTGCTGATGTCCTAAATAATCTCCCTTCTCTGACATGTCATTGGTTGAAAGCTAACTGAAAAACAACCAATTATTAGGTGATCCTGCTCATAACATATTAAACATAGAGATTTTCTCATATTCCAGTCTTTCATAGTGAAATAATTGAAATGTATTGATATGACAATGTTTTATGAAAGAATGTTTGCCACCCAGGAAACATCATGAGAGATATTTCCATACTATCAAAAATGTCATCAAAAGTAAGATTTGTGTAAAACAAGAGGTTGTATATTCAAATAGACACCTGACAGTTTCTGAACTGGGGAGATCGAACGCTGCATGCATCTGAATGGATACAGCGTCCCTTTTCAGGAGTCTGGACCCAATCTCATTGAAGTGTTTTGAGCGTATTTCTGACAATTTTGGAAATTTGTGGTCTGGAGTATAACCCAAAGCAGACAACCAACATTCACTTCTTTAAAGGTTATTAGGTATCCTAAAAATAATAACTCCACATAAATAATATTTTTAGAAATTGTGCAGATCATTAACCTTATCACATGCACGAGTAGCTTTTAGATAAATTTCGTCTCAATAACGCTAGAACTATTATTATTAGAGACTTCAAATTGGCATTTGCATCATAAGAGGTGAGTGATGGATTATACGTTATCTTTAAATTTTGGGCATCCGATATTTCTGTATAATGTTATTAGATAATATTGAAATACTGTTTTGAACAAGCCGCGAGATATAAAATTTTCTTTGATTCAAGACCACTCTTGATTATCCACAAAATACATTTATTCGTAAAATGAATCATTTTTTAGGACCCTACAGAGAGCAACATTCTTAAAGTTAGGCTTCAAAACTTGAAATATAGGACAAAATCAATAGTATAGACCTTTCGATTAATATCATATAGTAATTAAAACAGCAACATTAAAATACCATTTGACGTCGGTAATGGCGTCTTGCAAATTCCATCTTGCCAGTGTATGTTCACCTGTGAAACGTTAATTGTTCGGCACCGGGCTGGTAGAGTAAACACTTTACACAAATAGCACACTCTAATCATTGTTGATTTTGATAAAAAATGCTAAATAACACAAATACACCACTAACAGTATACCAAAATGCAACTGGAAGCTCAACAACATAGAACACACTGTACGAAGCACGAATACGAAAGGCAACATCGCAACGGCAGTTATTTTGCAGATATGAATGAAGGTGGGTGTGACCTACGTACGTCTGGGTACTATGAAATGCTTGGTAAACGAAATGTGTCTCTTTTATCAATTTGAATAAGCAATGCTCAAATACTTAAAAGCCTGTTCGAATAAGGCTTTGTCGCAGATCTTCGGTCAACAATTCAATTGTGGCAACACGGATTCGAAGCATCGCGATCCCTTCATCCAATTTCAGGAGTTTTTGCCGGGTCTAGCTGTGTTTAGTAGTCGATGGTCCGACCACAGGTAGCCCACCCTGTACAGCAATTTCATGCCTTTTGGCAATCACCAGCACGGTTTGAGCTTGGTCTTAGGTAGGACAACGAACGTAAACAGGGCTGCTATCCTTTGTCTTACGTATAAGATCTATTGGCATAAAGTGACATCTGTTACCAGAGAGGTAAACTGTGAGTGAATAGCAGCTATCTATTGGAACTGTAAAATAACTCCGCATTTGACAGCCGAGCCACGACTGTGACGGCTAGTTACCGTTGGTGCTGGTGATACAGTAGATGTGGTCTATTCGTCAGTGAAAAACTAACAATACTGCTTTGGTCCGTCCAGCCACAGATGGAAAAGGGGTCTAAGCTTAGTCTCGGGTAGTTTCGTTCCAAATGAGATTCCCAAATGGGTTTATTGTCGATGCTTAGCTATCTATTGAAATCGACATGTTCAGTAAACATACACCTTTGTTCATTATGTGTGAATTTAATTCCAAGCTAAATTACAGGACGACTAGGCAGTCGTAAGATATGGTTGAACCCCTATTCAGCAAATGATAAAAGATCTATCCGTAACAATTTGCTTGCTTCTTCCTTTTTACTGAAACTTGTTATTTATTGTTTTCTGCAAAAGGTATTAAATTTTGTCCCTAGACGGAAACATACACCACATTCTCCTATCATGCTCTGACTGAGGAATCGATCTTGATAGCCTCCCGCTGGGAGTAAACATGGTTAAGTTAATTCGTTTTGTTTTACATGTAATAATAATTGTGTTTTTCATTGGTCACGGCACAACGAACATCATTAAAATACAATTAGTTTTCTAGCACCCTAGCAATTTGTAACGAGGATGTCCAATTTAAACAGCTATACATAATGATCGACAATTAGGCTCTTAGTATGATAATGTAAACTGTTAATGATATCAACGTCAGATAAATTGACCAGATACCACTTTCTCCGTAACATCGTACAGGGATAAAATGTGATGGATGTGTGAATTATAACAAGTGCTAATGGTACTAAACTTGCATAGACACGGATTAAGCAAAACAGGAATCGGTCGAGCATTACGTTGAAATGTCATACGAAATAAGCAAACAGATTAACTAATTGTGCTATGTGTGTAGCTCACAAGGGAAATTGCACACTGCGGAAGTCAATTCCTAATGCAGCTGCTACTCCTTCTTGAACACAGATATATAGTACATGCTTAGATAGTTGGTCTCTTTCACTTCCTGAAATTAGTTCAATCAATTTAATTCAGACTGTTGGTATTGTGGTTGTGTTTTCAGGTTGTTTAATATCAAATATCAACAAAGTTGGACTCAAATCGCACACCCATGACAAGCAGGTTGTATACTGGCAGTCACAAGCATATATAGAACATTCAATGACCAAAACCAAAAGGAGTATGTACCTTATTGACAGATCCTTCAAGGGCTGAGGCAGCTCTCTACTGCTGGGCTCCTGTACACGCCATATGTCAGGCCAATTATGGAATTCGGAGGACCTGTTTTGTATCCAACATTACAACGTAACCAAGACATATTGGGAAATATACCGAGGAAGGCTGCACACACCCCATTCATTGACCTGATTATGAGGAGAGGCTGAACCCTGCATGGTTTCTTCGACACTGACATATCCTCAATGGTCCATCTCAAGGTAGATTCAAACTACACCTCGCCAATTTTGTGTCTGTCTACCGGGTATTTGATATCTGGAACAGGCTACCCTACGACGTTATTGATGCGTCCCGAATTAACAGTTTCAAGAATCGTTTGGGCAGATGGGTACAGGAAGAACTCTAGTTTGCTTGATCTTTACCTTATCTCTATTTGGAGTTTGTAGCTGCTCAACTCCTCTGCTATGTATAATAATAATAATAAATTACGCAGCTCACACGTTAACAAAAAACTTTCATGATGGCGAGGCAGAACTGAGCAATTTATGTTTGAGCTGACACAAATGGACGTTTGCCCATAGAGGGCAGATTGCATATGCCCCCCTCCTCAACAACTGTAAAAATACCTATATTTGGTGTAAACCATCGCTAAAATTCCTGTTAACGCAGTTAAAACAATTTTGTGTAGAGGCGATTTTTCACCTTGTAGTTCTTAAGTCAAGTTTTAACTAACTCAAGATACTAATTTTTGAGATTGTTTACATGATTTTAGTCATTCGAATATCCAAAGAAAGTGTAAGTGTCTCTGTTTAAAAGAATGTATATGTGTGTAGTAACTGCGCATACTATAATATAGCAAGCTCATAATATTTGCGGAAATAATGATCATATTGGCAATACTCAAACACCAGTCTGGACAACTAGATTTAGATTTATAATTAGTTTTGAACCTAAGAAAACAAGAACAAATAAATGGCAGAAAGTACGATGCACAACCAGAAGCCATCATAATGAACAGAGCCCACAATTATGGACATACTTAAAGCTTGTACCTAAGTATGTCACAATTTTTATTCAGACGACGTTCTAACTTACAACAAGCGACAATTGGTGGCTCGCAGCAGCTCATTATAAAAGAATAAATTCAACCGAATCTAGTTATATTAAATTTAAGCATTGCTATTTCTCATATGGATGACAAGTCCTTTCTTGAAATGACCTGTAGTCTGATCCAGGCTTTGGCAAGCTGAATACACCAACATGTCATCAGCAAATATATTTATGGAGCTACTTACCTGAAGAGGTTCCACATCATTCAAATATAAAAAATCAACGGCCCCAGAACACTTCGCTGAGGAGCTCCGAGGTCAACAGACATGTTAGAGATAGAAGTACCGATCTTAGTACTCTTGCTTCTGTCGCTTAGATAATAAACTATCCCTTTCAAAACATCCAAGAGAACCTAAAAAATCATTAAGACGACTTCTAAAGGGTTGCATGGGCATGGTATCTTGATCTGAATTTGGTAAAGCAAAAATCTATCAAAGCTTTTTATACCGAGCGACAGTATTGCATCGTCAATTTCGAAGCAGACGCGGTTCTGAGAGTTGTCTAAACTAATGCAAAAGGTCAAGTCTTAAACGTTTCTCGGAAAAACATTTTGTTTTTGGTAATATATATATATATCAAAGGAAGGTACAGATGTCAAGACTTTTATTTTTTAAATTATTTTTATACAAGACAATGAACAGTACAAATAAGTTTACTTATGCTAAATACACTATTCTAACGTACAAAAATAAAGTATAGAAGAACGAGTTCTTGTGCATGGGAAAATCAATGATGAACATAACAATTCTATGTTACACTGTTTGATAATCGATCATATTATAAATATACAAACAGTAAGTAAGATGATTAAGAACCATTATTTTAATAATTTCCATAAGATTTATGGTCGATTTTTGCACTGCATGAGCTTTTTGCTTCAACTTTGAATTTGCTTATTTCAACTTTGAGTTTGCTTATATTTGAAATGTATTTTATATGGGTGGGTAAGTTCTAACTAGGCTTTACTTACTATGGAGTGTCCTTCATACAGTAACTGATCTTTAATTTGGTGAAAGTAGTGGCATTAATGTAATTCTGGACAATTGCGTAAAATTATAATTTAAATAATTTAGTAATTAGGCCAACCTGGGTAAATATCATTTTATTCATATCCTCATCACGATTTTAACTTAATAAGCGTGAACTTATGAATTAGATAACGCTGCAATTTTTTGTAGCAATTAAATTATAATTGAGCATTGATGAAACATGTTAATGAATAGACAGTTGGATCAGTTAAAACCTTAATTTGGGCTGATGATATTCAAAATATCGAGATACAGATAGAAGTACGGCTCACCTATCCATGGATAATCCTCATCATAGTAGAAAGAGATTTTCGTATCACATATTTTTATTTTGGATAATTTTTATTACAAAGAGCACGACTTGCTGGACCGTATTGGATGCATTGCCAATTTTAAATCTTAGCCAGATCGTCGCCAATTGTACCATTGACTACCGGCATGGATATTGCGTAAATATAATGTCAAAAAAATCGATAAAACCAAAAGAACCTTGCCGTTTGGTTACTACTACAGAATTATGTTGCCTTTTTTCTGTACTTACATGAGCAATAAGAGCAATTTATTGTTTTTATATTTATTATTAAAATGTCAAATTTTGCAATAGTTAGCCGCTATTGTGTCGCTAGTCATTCGACGCCTACTGCAAGTGATTATGAAGTGAATGTCAGTTAGCTCAAAGTTGACATTCTATAGAAAAACCTACATAATGTCAAAAAAACTCACATAATGACACTTCTTAAGTAACGTGGTACGGGCGCTTCACCGGTATGGGTATCATGTAATAGACCTATAAAACGTCAAAAAAAACCTATGTCATCTTGCAAACTAGGTAGTTTTTAGGGCATTCTACGTTTGATCACTAGGATCGTTGTGAACGTCCATCTAAGGAGGAATCACTTAACTAAACTAAACGCATTATTGGATGCATATGTTTTGTGAGGCCAAATGGTCCTTGTCTGTAGTTTTTATCTCAGAGAAGAAAGGTGGTTGAATAGCAAGACCGCATCTGGACGATTATGTGTATTGGCCTGCATGCGTATAAAATCAGTGATATTTGCTGTGTGAGAAAATCGTTACTGAATATGCTGCCAATGAAGTATATCTAT